CTGAGCCAAAGGCAAATGCTTAACGACTGAGCCACCCAGGCACCCCATGGAGCCTAATTTTAAAAAAGTTTTTTTAAATGAGGATAGGTTAAGGGATGCCTTGGACAACATCAAGTGAACAATCATTCTCATTATAGGGGTCCCAGAAGGAGAACAGAAAGACAAAGGAGCAGAAAACTTACTTAAAGAAATGACAGTCAAAAACTTACCTAACCTGGGAAAGGAAACCGACATCCAGGTTCAGGAAACAGAGCTCCAAAGAAGATGAACCCAGGGATGCCCAGGTGGCCCGGTCAGTTAAGCATATGCCTTCAGCTCAGGTCATGATCTCAGGGTCCTGGGGTCGAGCCCCGCATCAGGCTCCCTGCTCATTGGCAGCCTGCTTCTCCCTCTGCCTGCCCCACCAGCCCCCCAACCTTGTGCTCACTCTCACCGACAAATAAAATCTTAAAAATTTTTGGAAAAAAAAGAATGATCCCAAAGAGGTCTACACCACAATATTTAATAATCAAAATATCAAAGATGAAAGGTAAAAATTCTCACCCAGAACTATGAAATTAAAAAATCTGAGAGTAGGTATGAAAATCTGCATTAAATAAGCACGACATGTAACTTTATGCTTACCAAAGTTTTTGAAGAGGTAATGACAGATTTTAAATTCCTTAAGGTTGCTTAAGACAGGTACCAATTTAGAATGACATGTGTGTATGGTGGGGGCAGGAACGATGGATGGAGTAGGAAGAGCGCTTAAGGCTGACAGACCTAATAGTCTGGAAACTGGCCTCTTGAGAATTGCTGGGGAGGGTAGGGAAGGTCACACACATTCATTTGTTGAATTGGGTCCAGGAACCCAAAATAAGAACTGAGAACCCTAACAAAAACAAACAAACAAACAAAAAAAAAGAATTGAGAACCCTCATTCCCTCTCAACTGATCTAGGAATGGAGGTAGAGTCAGAGTAACCAAATTAATTTATTTTAAACCAATGACTCTCAAGTTTCGTGGCTTGTTAAACCACATGTTGCTAGGCCCCAGACCAGATTCTGATTGAGTAGGCCTAAGGTGGATCTAAAAACGCATGTTTTTAACAAGTTCTCAGGTAAAGCTGCTACTGCTGACCAGTGACCTCCTTCCTCTTGGATTTTCTCACTGATAAAGTGGGCAACAGTGATGTTCTGTGGATTAATGAAAATAAAGATATGAAAGTGCTTTTTCATTACATGTGTCACAACGTATTATAATATTGTTGGAGTAAAATCATTTATTGAGTCAATTTAGTCAAGTTTTCTCCAGTGTCACAAAATCTATCACCCAGTGTGAAAAAGCCAAAAAGTCAATCCAAAGTAATTCTTTTGAAAAGTCAGGTTATGGGAGTGAGCAGGAACCATGCTGGGCAATTCATATCTTCTCAACACCCACATGTCACCTGCTCCATGGGCCCATCCCACCCACAAGGCCACCATCCTGAACATAGGGAATGGCTCCAGGCACCAGCACTGGATTATTCCCACCCTTCACCACAGATGACCCTCGGACCCTCTGGCCCAAACTTTCCTAAAGCCTCAAGAAGAGAGGAATTATTCATCTGTTCTCCCTTTTAATTCCTTTCTTCAGACCCAAAGCCCTGTTTCCCCCCACTCTAGTTCTTTGTTCTCAACCCTCACTAAAGTCCCATGCCTGTGGCAGTTCAGGCTAGGAGTCCTTGAAGGCTAGACATTTCATTTTCCTTTTTCAGCAACACAACTGAACACTATCTAACTTGTCATTTTAATAAAGTTAAATCCTAGATATCCCCAATGCAATGACAATAACTATGCTTTCTATTAAAGTTAGAGGAAAAATCCCATGAAATTAGGCCCAGTTTTTGATGGATGGAGTCAAATTAGGATAATCTGGTGCTTCCAAAACTGCTGCGTGATTCCAAAACACAGCTATAGGGCCTGCTAGAGCCGCCCCTCTCTGGACAAACTCTAATTCCCAAATTCCATGAGCCAGAGACAACCTCTTCTTCCTGATTAGTTAACCATACAATTTAATGTTTCAGATTTCATTCAGGTAAGTAACATTCCAGACACTTGGTTTTCTGGAAAGATTTCCCGAAATCCCGAAAATGCTCCCCGGTCACATCTCATTTTTGTTTTCTCTCTAGAGCAAGGTTCCTGGAAGGGGCAAAGCAGAGACCCTCAGTAAAGTTTCTGGATTAATGGGAGCTATGGAGAGGCAAGGCAGAGGGAGTAGAGAGGAATCAGGATGTTAACTGAGACCCTAGCTCGAGGGGAGTCAGGAACTACATTTCTGAGTGGTTCTGAGGGACTAGAGCTTCTTAGACAACTCACCACTGGCTTCAAAGCCCTGGGTGACTACTCCCGCTCTTGGTGTGGTCTATGAGGCCTTGGGAGGACCCGCCTTCCTCCCTTTCCAGCCCTGCCTTCAGTCTGCTCCCACCCCAGCACCGGTTCCCAACATCTCTCTATGGGGCTGCACATCTCTTCCAGTCTCCTCCATCTGGAAAAGCTGACTGCTGACACCTAACTTGGCTCTCACCCAGAACTGACTTCCTTGGGGGTAATTTCCCTGACCCCCCCCCCCTCAGGTCCAGTCTCAAGCACCCTTAGGCTCCTCCAAACACTTGGTGGGTGGGGGCCCCATTCCCCACAACACAGGGGTTACCAGGTGTCCTGCCGTGCCTCCCCAGAAGTCCATGGTGGGAGGCCTGCTTGGGCTATCTGCTCCAGGACAACCTAGGAGCGTCTATACCCCTTCCCCACTCCATGCAGTTTCTTGTGACCATCAAATTTTATATGCATATTTAAATGTGAAAATATGAATCGTGAGGAAGGGGGTGTGATTGATGAGCCTTGGTTTTCCTAATCCGTAAAAAGGGGACAATATTTTAAAGAATTAGGTGAGTCACTAAATGCAGAGTCTGGTGGAGTTCTTGGCAGGCCTGAGGCTCTCAGTCAGCGTCTATGGTGAACCCCTTTGGGGCCAAAGGATTTTCTAGACTGGGTTTTGCTTTTGTTTATTGTTTTGTAAGCAATCCCGGCTTTCCTCAATTCCGCCCGAGATTTACCTCCCCTCTAAATCTAGTCAGTGCTAATGTCCACCCTTCCGTAGAGCAGAGGCCATTTCCATTACAATGAAAGCTGCTTTGCTGCTCTTAATCCTGTACTAACCGTTGATAGAAAACAGGCCAAAAGCTTAAAACTCAAGGGGGGGAAAAAAGGCAGCCACCCCAAGACAGTTTTTTTTAATCTTCAGATTCCAAAACCTTTCCTGTGAATTTTCTCAAAGTTCTGTGGTTTGTTTTTTTAAGGCTGAAAAATCTTCAGTCCAGGGCACATGCAGACTTTATGGCATATGCTTAAAGTTCCAAATTTTGCTACTTTGACACAGATTAATCTGGAGCTGTTTCCTACACTTGGAAGCACTGCCCTTAGGGCAGAAATTCCAGGCCTTCAGGGCAAGGAAGTTTTCTATTTCATTCTCACATCGCAGAATTTGAATTCCCAACTCTCCAGTTTACATTTTCACACACACTCCTTGCCAACAGACTTAAGGGTGCACTAGCTCAGGGCAGCTTGAGGGAGCCACAACAGCTGGTCCATAAAGCGGGCTCAAGCAAGGAGTGCTAACTCAGGAAGACTGCACCTAATAGTTCAGCAGAAAAAAAGAAAAAAAAAAAAGTTTGCCACTCATCTCTGGGTGAGCTTGTGCAGAAACAGGCAATCTCATATATTGCTGCTGGGTGTAAAATTATTTCAACCCCTGTGGAAGAGGCAATTTAGTAGTGTCTAGCAACATTATATATATACAATTTTCTCTCTGGACCAGCAATTTTCCCTCTATTTATGGACCTACAGTTACCGGCACACTTGCAAAACAATGACCTTTATGGTATTCACCACAGCTATGGAAAGCCAAAGACTGGGAACAACCCAAAAATCTTTTGGTAGGTGACCGATTAAATGGAATCATCGCCAACTGTAAGGGATGGAAAGAATCTACATTTATGACTGTAATCGTATTTTTAAAAAACCTCTCGAAGAGTACCCAAGAAAATAAAGCTTTTTACTTCTGGAGAGTAGAAATAGGAGCATAAATGGATAATTATGCAGATAATTTTTATAATCTTGTAAATGGACAGGAGAGACTTTTTTTTTTAATCATTTTGGGATTCTGATCCATGAATGTATCTATTAAAAATTTGTAAGTAAATGTAAATATTAGTATTTAAGAAAATGCTGTTTATTCCAATATAGCAACAAGTATTCTCCCCTTAGTCCACAGTTCTGCATATCTGCTAGTGGACTTCTATTAAGCTTACAAGTATATAAAACTATTACACTGAGAAGGTACTGGCATTTCTATGTTTTGGAGAATAATTTGCTTTCCATCTTACACATGTACCTATTACAGTTATTTTTTTTTTAAGTAATCCAAGTCAGGGATGCCTGGGTGGATCAGTCAGTTAAGTGTCTGCCTTACGCTTACTCAGCAGGGAGCCTGATTCTCCCACTGCCTGCCCCTCTCCCTGCTCGTGCAGTGACAAATATATAAATTCTTCTTCTTCTTCAAAAAAGAATCGAGGTCAGTTCCAGACAATATCACACTTCCCCTAAAACTGACCGGGTTTTGATCAAAGCTGCATCTCAGAACCCAACTCCTATACCTTTTAAACCCTAACCATGTGTACTCTTGGACCTTTTCTAGCTTTGATGGTTTTATTTAAGGGTTAAGCTCAAGGGCCACCTTGGCTGTGATGTTATCTCCAGTACTTCAAACATCAAGGAGCTACTTATTTAAAATTTTATTCTTTAATTAGCAAACCGGGGGGGAAAGCCACATTAGGACTGAGACAAAGGCGGAGACCCAAAAATCAGCTGGTTTTTCCTTGTCAGACTGGAGCAGAATTTCAACCAGACCACATGCATTCCACCTCTGGAGACAGAGTTTACTCTTTAAATCCTGATTCCAGGTACGCGGGTTGCAAACTGGCTTCACTTCATCCAAGGACCTAGCTCTAGGGCTTTCATGGCATCCTCAAGTTTGAGCATCCCTGCACCAGAAAGCAACAAGTGTGCGTGAGAGGGGAGGGTAAGGGCCTGGACAGTTCTCAGCCTCTTTCAAGGTTCCTTTCTGGACTTCTCAGCCTGGCATTTGGCACCTGGGATTCTTGGGAACGTCAGAAGGTGGGGCCGCTGAGCCCACTCCAGTATCCCCCAATAAGCTAGGGGGAGTGTTGGGAGGGAGGGTAAGAACTGGGATCAGGTCTCGGGTAACACTTCCCTATGAGGCCAGGCCGCCTCTCATCCTGGTCTTCCTCCAGGGTCTCTAGAACCAAGAGACGGAATTTCATCATCTCAGGGAAAGCCCAGACAGGGAGGGACGCCCCTGCTGAAGCCTGAGGTCCGGGTGGTGGTTGCAGGGCGCTGGGGGGAGGGGAGGAGGAGAGAAGGGCTACAGGAGAGGAAGTAAAACTACCCACGCGTCCCCAGGCCAAAGCACCTAGTCGAGAGGCCTCTCACCTCGTTCCTGTCGCTGGCGGTGCCATTCGGCCATGGACTGGAGCATCCACCTGGCCCTGAGCTTGTGCAAGTAAGAGCCATAAACCACGACCTCCGTGAGGTCCGAGGATTCCAGAACCTTTAGCTCGAGCATGACTTTGCTCACTTGCTCGATGTACGGGATTCGAGATCCCGCTGGGCCTATATGGAGAAGAAAACGAGCGCTCAGGCCCACGGAGACCAAGACGCCCGGGTCAGGGCACCCAGGTCAGGACTGCTGGGCTCACTCACCAAACAAAGCCTCCAAGAGCTGCGTCTGGACCTGCAACACTTCAGGATCTTTCAAGTCTTCGGGAGCTTTCACCCACGGTGGAATATCTTTTCTTTCTGGTAGCGTCCCCATCTGCCTCGCCTCAAAACTAAATACGCTCCAATCTGGGCTAGGCCTGAGTCGCCGTGGGCGGGGAGGGGGGGAGGGGCCCTCAGCGCCAGAGAGGCGCGCACCGGGACGGGCCCCGCCCACAAGAAGCCCCGCCCACAAGAAGCCCCGCCCCTGCCTGGCGGCCCAGTCTCCCACTTAACACGCTAGGCTGGCCCACCCGCGCATTGGTGTTGCACGTGACCATCGCGGTCACTTTATCCTCTTCGCGGCACGAAGAGGATAAAGCAGCTGTCTCCGAGTTTATAAGGGTTTCCACCCGTGTTGACTCGTTTCTTCCACACCGGAATCTCTTGGCGCTGGGAGTGCGTGGGGGCAAGGGCAACGTCAGCTCTTCACCTGGAAACAAGTGATTGGGCCTGAACCCCGGAAAGACGAAAATCCAAGTCTTGACGGTGTGAGGACCACCGGGGAGCTGCCAAATCAAGTTCCTGCCTACCACGTTCCAAAGGAAGGTCCCACTTCCCCTGTGCCAAACCCCGAAGCTTCACGTCACTGAGACCCCTACAACTTCCGGCGACTCAGGAGTAATTCCTGCCATTTAACAAAGAAGAAAAGGAAATTAAGAAATTACTTATCGGCAAGGCATGGGATGGGGTCGCTAAAGTGCCCTTACTGTTCACCCTCCTTGAAGCCGCGAAGTCTGGAACTTTTCAATCTCTAATTTCAGAACTCATGAATGCCCAACCTGGACCCTTGGGCCCAAACTATATAGGCCAGACTAATTCTTTTTTTTTTTTTTTTTTTTTTTTAAGATGTATTTATTTGAGAGCCAGCAAGCATGGGTAGGGGCAGAGGAAGAAAGAGAATCCTCAAGCAGACTCCCTGAGCAGGTCTCAATCCCAGGACCCCGAGATCATGACCTGAGCAGAAATAGCTGCTTAACTGACTGAGCACCCAGGCACCCCTGTATAGGCCAGACTTCTGATTCTAAATAGTATTATTCATTTAAAAAACATGTTGCTTGAAGTGATGCACTAGACTCATGCAATGAGTATGTGATTTCAGGGTTTTATAGCTTCATAGATGTGGAAATTAAGCTGACTTTTCCCAAGACCATGTTCTGGTAACCTCCAATCCCATCAGCTGACTATTATGACTATCTCTTAGGGCAGGCTTCTTCACATTCAGCAGAAAAACCGTGGCTTTATGAGGCACCTGGGTGACACAATGAGTTGAGCATCCACCTCTTGATTTCAGCTCAGGTCATGATCTCAGGGTTATCAGTGCAAGCCCTGCATTGGGTTGCATGAGAGTGGAGTCTACTTAAAAAAAAACAAAAACAAAAAACAGTGACTGTATGTGAATCTACAATTATCCCAAAATAAAAAAGTTTAATTTAAAAAATGAAATCAGGGCGCCTGGGTGGCTCAGTGGGTTAAGCCTCTGCCTTCTGCTCAGGTCATGATCTCAGGGTCCTGGGATCGAGGCCCGCATCGGGCTCTCTGCTCAGCGGGGAGCCTGCTTTCTCCTCTCTCTCTCTCTATGCCTGCCTCTCTGCATACTTGTGATCTCTCTCTCTCTCTGCTTCAAATAAATAAATAAAATCTTTAAAAAAAATAATAAAAAATGAAATCAGAATTGAAAATTTACAAAATCTGTCTGAATTTCGGTTGCCATCTTGGGATCCCTTTCTAGCTGCCATACACCACTGTGTTCTGTTGGCAAGAAAGCTGGATAGTTAAGAGACTTAAAGAGAACATTGTGGTACAAAATGATCAACATTATGTTCTCACATAAAGACCTTTTCCTGCTTAATGCCATTCACATTAAAGTCTACTAGATATTATTTAAACACTATCACTCCAGTTTAGTTTCTTTCTTACTAAGTCATTTGTTTTTCTTTTCTTGAAGAATGTTTATGTCCTTTTGCATTGAGTGTCTCTATTAAGTTGCAAATAATTGGATATTTTAATACACTCAGGTTTTATTTTGGCTGAAAACTTTTAAATCACCTGAGTGTGTTATTAGGCTAGGCTTTTCCACCATCTAAGCACTCCCTGCACCCCAACATTTGTCACTAGCTATAAAAGTAAATACTTTCTTGACTAAAGAAGGTAGGATGGGAGTGATGCAGGGGCTGGGAAGGTGACAGATATCTTCCAAAAAGCTGAGATCAGAGTTTTCTCGGAATTAGCATTCTAGAGCAGCTGGTGGCTCCTTTTACCTTTAAAAGAATTAATTTCGATTATTTACTTTTCAGACCTATAGCATACTATATGGACACTGGAGCCAGATGCATCCATATTGACAATTATTACTTGTATTATTTAAAGTGGGATGTGTGGATGATGATAGAAAGCTTTCTTTAGAGTGGACTTTGGTGTTTTTGAATCTCGACCATAAGAGGAGATACAAAGCAGGAGCAGAAAGACCTAAAATAGAACGAAAGATGCAATTAGAAATACTCCTTTTTGGGGTGCCCGTGTGGCTCCGTGGGTTAAGCCTCTCCCTTCAGCTCAGGTCATGATCTCGGGCACCTGGGATTGACCCCCACAGGTCATGATCTCAGGCTCCTGGGATGGAGACCCACATCGGGTTCTCTGCTCAGCAGGGATCCTGCTCCCCTCTCCCCCGCCCCTACTCTCTCTGCCTACTTGAGATCTCTCTCTCTCTCTCTCTCTCTCTCTCTGTCAAATAAGTGAATAAAATCTTTTAAAAAAGTAATACTCTTTGTTGTTGTTTTTTAGTTAGTGTAGGCAAATTTTATTTCTATGGTAGTAGCATTTATTTGGGGTATGGAAAAATAACACTATTTCACAGTCAAGGTAATGAAGCAGAAATAAATTTTTTTCTCATATGTCCATACTCAAATAGCACATATGATTTCAAGACATTCTTAAATTAACAAGGAACAAATGCAGAATCCAAGTAGTATCTGTCAACAGAAGAGTTGTATTAAAGCTACATTATCAGTCCTAGAAATCAGAAAATTCAAAGTGATCCCTTGCAATGATTCTCAACTTTACTGTGCATCAGAATCACCTGGATTATGGAAAAAGCACCTTCAGGGGACTGAAGGCAAATCAACAGGTTAAACAAGCCCTTGGTCTCAGAATAAATACCAAAGGGGCTCAAGATACAAACTTGGTTCCTCAGAGAGGGGCAAAGACAAAATACAACATGATATGAGATCAGACCTTTACTTACTGTGTTACTTCTCTGCGCCTCAGTACAGGAATAATAATGCTACTCTCAAAATTGTGCTATAAATTAGATCAGATAGTGTATGATTAGTGCTTCCCTAATTCATTCATCAGCTACTATCATTATTTCATCATCATCATCATCATCATCATCATCATTATCAACATTATCTGATACAGAGGGCATGCTTCCCCAGCCCCCATTCTGACTCCCACATAGTCGTTAATATTTTTTTAAAAATAACCACTTGGGCACCTAGGTGGTCCAGCTGGTTAAGTGGCTGCCTTTGGCTCGGGTCATGATCCTGGGGGCCTGGGATCGAGTCCCGTGTTGGGCTCACTGCTCAGTGGGGAGCCTGCTTCTTCCTCTCCTCCCGCTCTTGCTCTCTCTTGCTATCTCTGTCTCTGTCTCTCTCAAATAAAAAAATAAAATCTTTTAAAAAATAAATGAATAGGGGCGCCTGGGTGGCTCAGTGGGTTAAGCCGCTGCCTTCGGCTCAGGTCATGATCTCAGAGTCCTGGGATCGAGCCCCGCATCGGGCTCCCTGTCTCTCGGGGAGCCTGCTTCCTCCTCTCTCTCTGCCTGCCTCTCTGCCTGCTTGTGATCTCTCTGTCAAATAAATAAATAAAATCTTTAAAAAAAAAAAAACTAAAAAAAAAAAAAAAAAAAAAAAAAAAATAAAATAAATGAATAAAAATAAAAAATAACCACTCATTGGTTTCAAGTTCATGGACTGCTAGTACCATTTTTATATTGGTACCATTTTTACTAGCTTCAACCATTCACTTAATATAAGTGAATATAAAATATATATATATATGAATATATATATATATGAATATAAGATAATACAAGATTTCAGACCATGGCTGAAATGACAATTTTTCTATCTCAACTAAGTTGATGGGGGTGCCTGGGTGGCTCAGTGGGTGAAGCCACTGCCTTCAGATCAGGTCATGATCTCAGGGTCCAGTGATTGAGCCCCGCATCGGGCTCTCTGCTCAGCAGGGAACCTGCTTCCCCCTCTCTCTCTGTCTGCCTCTCTGACTACTTGTGATCTCTCTGTCAAATAAATAAAATCTGAAAAAAAAAAACTGATGATGAATTCAAAGAAAAAAGGGAACTAAACCTTAAAAAGTATGTGCTCTAGAAGCATCTAAAGCATCAATAGCCAGATGAGTGAACTGTTTTTCAAAGTGACCCCTTTTAGACAATCTCTGATGTTCCTTGTATCATTTTCTCGGTCTCAGGTTATTTATAGATGGAAACATGGCAGTAAAATACCTATAATCTCCATCACTTCCTATGTCCAATATACTACACAGTAATGTTACATGGTTGAAGCTTTTGGCCATTCATGTAACTACCTTAATATCTTAAATATCTGAGGTTTTTATATTCTGAAACTATAAACCTAAGCTATAGAGGTACACAGGCTAGGAAAGGGTTTCTCAACCTCAGTAAAACTGACATTTTGTATTGGATAATTCGTTTCTGTGGGGGCTGTCCTGTGCATGGCAGGATATAGGCAGGCATCTCTGGCCTCTACCCTACTACATACCAGTAGCAACCTTTTCTACTTCCCCATTTTGAAAACCAAGTGTCTCCAGATGTTGCCAAATGTCTTCTGAGGGTCAGAAATACCCCTCCTCCATAAAGAACTACCAAGCTAGAATTTTACATAGATATAATTGTAAACTGAGTACACAGATTATACAAGATTCTATGCAGTTTTCCTAATTCAAAGAGTACAGCACAATAGTTTCTGCTGTACTATTTATGCTAGGGCACATAGTATTTATGTAATGTACTATTTA